TTCTTGTGCTTTAGGAGCCTTGTTGAGGAAGTCAGTTCCTAAGCCAACATGATGTTGGGCCTACATTTTCTTCTAGTAGGCACAGGGTCTGTGGTATAATGCCTAGAGTTATCTTTGAGTTGAATTCTGTGCAGGATGTGAAGGATTAAATTTCATTCTGCTACATATGGATTTTCAGTTTTCCAAACACCATTTGTTCAAGAGGCTATTTTTTTTTCTCCGATGTATGTTTATAGTGCCTTTGTCTAGTATGAGGTAACTGTATGTATGTGGGTTTCTCTCTGTGTTTTCTATCCTGTGACATTGGTCTTTATGTCTGTTTTTGAGCCAATACCATGCCATTTTTTATACTATGGCTCTGTAGTATAATTTAAGGTTTGATAATGTGATGCCTCCTGTTTCACTCTTCTCAATAAGGACTGCATTGGCTATTCTGAGCCTCTTGTTTTTCCAAATGAATTTCATGACTGCTTTTTCTATTTCTATGAAGAACACCATTCGAATGTTAATGGGAATTGCATTAAATCTGTATAATACTTTTGGTAGTATGGACATTGTGACAATATTAATTCTGCTTATCCAAGAACATGGAAGAGCTTTCTATCTTCTAAGGTCTTCTTTAATTTCTTTCTTTAGTGTTCTGTAGTTTTTATTGTAGAGGTCTTTCACTTCTTTTGTTAGATTGATTCCCAAGGGTTTTTTGTTTTGTTTTGTTTTGAAGCTATTGTGAATGGGATAGTTTTCCTAATTTCTCTTTCAGCTGATGATAGCCCTACTTCTACAGATGAAATAATCACCTAAAGGACTTTGAACAGTGCCTGGAATATAGTAAATGCCCAATTAATGTTAACTATTAATGTTTGCTCCTTATCACTTCTCCCCTAGACTAGCAATTTCTAATTGAATTCATTGTCTTTGTAGGTTCTTTTATTTATACTATTATAGGAATTCAGAGGAGCTGAGAATTGGATGAGAAAAATTACATCTTTATTTTAATGCATATTTAATTGAAATCCGACCTCTTTCCATTCTGAAAATGTAGGCTTGAAATCACAGTATTCACAGTATCTATGAGCATGTCACCAACAGAAATCAAAAATACTTAATATCAAATTTCAATTATTTCAGGTATTTATATGCTCATCACTACTTTTAAATTTCAGTTATTTCAGTTAACTAATTACTACTTTTAAATTATGGTAATTACTCAAAATATTGCTAAATTTAATTTACTCTATTAATATTTTTTCTGGATTTTGTCATATTCCATATTTAAAATATTTTGACAAATTACATTCAATATTACTGGTGTCTTTTATAAACTAATGTATTTAGACCATTATCCTGAGAAATGATTTGTGGGCTTTAGCAGAGTTTAACACAAAAAAAGGTTACAACACCTCAAGTAAAGTGGATTAAAAAAAATGCGTCTAACCATATTCCCCCTCCTTAAAAGGACTCACTGGCTCTCATCACTAAGAGGTATCAAGGATAAAATCTTTAGGGAAACATGCAGGGCTTATCCTGGGTGTGACTCCAAGCTTGTGACCCACTGCTCATCACGTACTTCCAAGGCCCTATCCCTCCAACCATTGAGAATTACTGGCAGGACCTCTAAGGCACCCTGACTCCTTTCTGTCTGCATTTGTATGTATATGTTTTGCTTTGGAATGCCCTCTTCCTTCTTCCTTACTCATCCATCGAAATTTTATTCATAATCAAAGACATTGCTATTATCACCTCCTCCTTTAAATCTTTATGAGCACTTACTTAGTGGGGCTCAGGTGACTTTTCCTCTTTCTCCTGTTTTAGCATCCATGCAGTCATCAAAGTAAGTGTCCATGGGGCACCATTTGTCCCGTTTTATTTAAGTGTTTACTCTTACTGTTTGCTTTCTGATGTCACTAGACTGAGTTCTTTGAGGGAAGATTATGTTTTGTTCCTCACCTCCCTCCATAGACAGTTGCATCTAGTACTCAGTTAAAGGTAAAATATGATGGCACAGGGATAGGAATTGATCCTTTATTTCAGAAGGAAATTACCAGGGGCATTCTGAATTATTTTTGCTCCTACTTCTGGTAACATTGAAGGAAAGCATTACTCTTTTGAGAGGCTGAATGACATACTGCATGGAACTAACAGAGACTGAGGAAAGTCTTTGTGACTTTTGGGGACAGAGTATGTGTAATATTTTTCCTCAGAAATCATGAGAGAAAGGCTTCAGTAGAAGTGAAGGACACTCTCCTAAAAGGATTGTTGTTTTGAGCTATATGTCCCATACCTACAGTGAAGGGGTAATTAAAATACAATGATAGATGTAACAAATGAATGAAAATGGGTAGGGATGTTACTGGTATTTTCTGTCTGGTGGGAAATCTTGTTATCATCATATCCTACTGTTTTAACATTCGTCCTCACTAATTGTATTTAGATTTCAAGAAGATTCCTAATTTTACCCCAGGTCTCCTGTGTTATTGCTAAATTCTATGTAAATGACCTTTTGGATATATGAATCCACGTAGTTGTTAGGATAACTATCCATTGGGCACCATTCCATATTTCAAGTCAGCAAAGATATTATCATAAATGATGACAGCTATCATGGTCACCTGAAGAAAAGTAAATTGAATTCTTACCTCATACTTGTGACAAAATAGAGTTGAGATTAAAGATTTTAAAAACAAATAACAAAATGATGGGAGTATTACAAAATAAAGAATGCTAAACATGCTCTATGTCAGAATATAAACATACTGGAAAAGGCCTTTCTAAATATGACCAAAAAAAAAAATAAAAGAAAAACAGAAGACAGAAATAAAGACTAACATATGTGACATCATACAATTTTTTTTTCAAATTCTTCATTAAAAAAAAAAGTAGACTAGGTATGTAGCTCATTGGTAGAGTGCTTGCCTAGCATGCATAAGACCCTCAGTTTGATGTCCAGCACTACAAAAAAAAAAAAAAAAATGAAAAAAGACAAATGGAAATGAATAGGACAAATGCAAATATAAAGTTAATATAAAGTTAATAGGAAAGGAAATACAGATTATTTTTGAACATGAACATGAAATGATTAATAACCCCATTCAAAATAAATAAATGTCTTTAAAATTATGATTGTATTCCATTTTTACCTGTCAGACCAGAAATATGAGCAATGAAAGTACGGGAAAATAAATAGTTTCATATATTGTTAATGGAAATATAAGTTAGTAAGACCTCTACAGAATACAAGTTGAATTATCTGTTAAAGATAATCATATCCTTTGACTCTGCAAAGTAAAATTTTCCCAACACATGCACGCGTGTGCACAATTTGGCCCCCTTCCTCAGTATACACGGCCATGGTCATGTAACTGGAGCAGCCATCTTTTAACCACAGAGACAACTCCAGGGTCAAGCAGATACCCTGAGGATGACAGAGGGCAGAGGGAGAAAAATCTTCATGGATACTATGGAGCTATTGGCTACATTATACCTAGAGGGGTCTTACATTAGAACCTATATGAGACAATACATTTCTCAATGATTTAAGCCATATTTGAATTGGGATTATTGTTATTCACAACTAAAAGTATCCTAAATAAATAAATATGTGTATAGAATGTATATACATATTTCTACACACATATACTGTGTATTTAAATTTGAGTATCCTGTTACTAAATCTGTTATAACCACTGCTCTATATTTGAAATATATTATTTTCTTTTATATATTATTTTCTTTTAAATAAATTTTAAATTTATTTTCTTTTAACAACTAATATGAGCTGCATGAGCTCAGTATTTATTGTCTGTATATCTCTATCAGTAAAGGAAAGAGCTTTGCTGGCCCTTCAGTTGCAGAACTATTTCTTCCATGAGTGGCCCTCTTCATGCCATATGTTTTACTTATAGGAATGCAGCTTACCTTATGCATAGTTGGGAAGGTAGTTAGATTCTCATCAACTCTATGCAGCTTCTTTAGAATTCTGTTTGTCTCTGGAGCTGTAAAGAATTTATTTACTATAAGACACAGGTCCTGGTAGGTTCTAACTTTGGCGACAGTTTTACTGACTGCTGGGTCATGTCTACAAGTAGCAGGGGACTACCTTCATCCATTCTTCTTTGCTATAATTTACCTCTGGCACCTGGCCTTACTCAGAGCCCAACATGACCTGGGATTCCTCAGTAGAATCCTTCACCTAGAGTGCAGGCATCTACATAATTCACTCCATTATTTGAGTTGCCTGAGAAGTATGCAGCTTTTCAGGAAGATATTCTTGGAGCTTGAAGCCAAGTGGTTGCCTAGTGACCTCCTGATTATTTCCATTTAACAATTTGGATTTTCTCCCACAGTCAGTTTAGTGTGCTCTATAAACCGGGGGTTTATGCTTAATTTCCACTTCCAGAATTCTATCTCAGCATCATGAGGATCTGATGGCATCATGTGGGCACTTTCTTGTGTTGATATATTTGGTTTTTGGCTGGTTGAGATAATGCCAAAATTCTGAGCTCTCTGGGAATAGAGCCAAGAGACATTTAGCTTCTTAGTCAGAGTTAGTGTCTGTGGGAGCGGATCTGGGAAACTCTTGTAGAGGATTTATGGCCAAAACTACGTAATCAAATTTTGTTCTGAATAGGGTCCTTTATAAGACATTAGGGGAAAAAAAACTGACATAACACTTGTAGGAAAAGTTTTAAAAGAATAATTTTGAATGGTTAGGAAAACGATTAAAGGGGTGAATTAGTATATAGCCTTTTTTATGAATTTAGTTTAAAGGTACCTTTAAGATTAATTGAATCAAATAACTGTTGGTCTTGTTCAGGTGGACTTCCAACAGATCTCCTTAGGAACAGAATTTGAGACTATTTTTAAGAATGAGTTAATACTAATACTATGAGTTAATACTAATGAATACTAATGAATAGCGTTTTGCCTGTAGTACATTTATAGAGCTAATAAAGTAAAGTTTATTAAATTCAGTTTTAAAGAAAGTAAATATATGACATGTGTTTAATTAAAACATTATCTTTATTATGAAGCAGAAATAACATTGTTGAAATATTAGAAACCTTCTTTCTTATAGTAATCTAGAACTGGGCTCATTGAAAACTAAGCATATATGTCTGTTTCATTGCCAAGCTATATATTTCTGTATCCGGAATATTTAGTGTAATGTTAAGCCTGATGTGAACTATTAAACCTTTATAAGTTATACAATGAGGAAGTTGTTTGCCACTGTTCTACATGCATTTTATGCCCATCGGATAAACTACAAGGCCTCATATGTAAAGTCTTACATTTAAAGCATCTATGTTCTTCATTGGATATGCTACTGAGGTATTTTAATATAGGGAATATATTTAAGTATTCCTTATAACTAGTGTTTTAAATGGCACCAAAAGCAATTTTTCTTTTAGCCATGTATGATATCTAAAGTAAATGCACTCAGTTTTTGAAGACTTCCTTTGCAAGAAGCCATCTAGACATGAATGAACTAAATTTAGTACCATTTTGCATTGCTCAACATCTTACCTCAGGGATGACCAAAATAAGAATAATTTACCTTAATGTGTTTTGCAATATGTAAGCTGGAATTGAATGACCATGGAAATAAAATTTCAGCACCATATGTCACATGCCAGGAAAGTCATAACTTGCATATCATTGCTGTGTTTTAATTTCTTTATTATAATATTGATAGTATTCATGTATTTAATTTTAAAAAGTGATCATTTGATAGTTTATATGGATTTTTATGTTACTGTTTTAATAAGTACTATTAGAGTGAATTATAAAGCAAGTACATAATGCATTTGAATTTAAACTTCTGTTATTATGCAAATATAAATTATTATATTTTATATTAATTATGAATGATTTGTTTCAAAATCATAACATAGTAGAATTTTAGTCATCACCCCATTAAACTTAGTCACAGCTTTATGGCTGTTTCTAAACTAATGGAGGCAGAGAAGAATAACTTCAAAAATCTTTATGTATATGTTGCACTTGTGGATTTTCAGGTACTTTGTAACTGTTTTGCTATTCATTTTGAAAACTGGTGACCCAAATGTTCAGATAAATTTGTCACTATCATTAAGTACTAGGAAAAAGACATAGCTTCCCTGTTTCTCTGTGGCTTCAGTAGAACTTGTTGTAACTCTAGGACCATACACCCTTGCCAAATGCAATGCATTTGGAAATTGAACCTATGAAAACATATAAATAGTTTTCAGGTCAAGATAAAGGGAAATGAAACAGACATAATTATTATTGATTTTGTATGTGTAAAACAACTTGATAAGGACCAATTTAGAAGGAATTTGACTCATAAGAAATAAGAGCAGATGACCTAAAGTTTCTGAACAAACTTTTGTGCGAAACCATTAGACTTTAATAATAAACTGAAAATCAGAAATCAACTTAATTATTATAACATAAAACTGTTATGTCTTTCAAAGATGTGAAAACACTTTAATTTATGTTGCTTCTACACATTGATGTAAGAAATAATTTCACTTAGTAATAAGTACAATGAATTTGGTTGACAAAATCCCAATTTACAAAATAAAAGTAAATAAATGCAGAAATATATTCATTACCAAATCAGAAAATAAAAGCAATAGCTCTTATTGAGATATGATTTTTATTATCCTTTCAGATAATGGATTTAATCATTTTGGTATGCTTAGTAATATTTATACTATTAAAGTAATGGAACGTTGAGATTTGAATACAATGACAGTAAACCATTGGAATTTCACATTCACATTATACAGTCATCATGAATCCATACGTGAATGTTGATAATGTAAAAAAATATAAAATGATTGTAATATAACCATCTAACCAATAACATATGGAGTTTTAAGACCACTATTTTATTTGCTAATTTGCTTTGAAATATAAGCAGTTGCTGTTCTGTGATACATGACATGTCTTTGTGCCTTAATACTTAATTTGAAATATCCTTAATGTAAAAATATACCAAAGTAAATAAAAAAGGAAACACTTATTTACAAAACAATATTGTATACACATTATATAAATGCAATTGTTTCAAAGTCTTTTACAATATTGATAGAATCAGTCATTTCCATAATTTTACCATAAAAACTACAATGTTGCAAAGGCAGAGTGTAATTTTGAAATTTTAATAAAAATGAATACTATTTGACTGCCTTTTAAAATAATGCAGTTTCTCCAAGTATGCTGTGGAATTGAAAGCCTACCTCTAGAAAAATGATTCTTCTTTCATTAAAGAAAATCCATTCTCCATTTGGAGGTGTTTGAAAATGCACCTGAAGAAAGGAGAAACTTATGATTTTACCAAATGTTTTTTATTTGATAAACCTGCTAATATCAGTCATTCAGCCTATTGTATTAGCACCATTGGTATGGATTATTAATGTACTCTCCAATCATAATAGGAATGGAAATTTGCATGTGGCATACCATCCCTATTTTGTGGAATTTTATCTTACCAAGTATGCTATCATACAATATAAATGCAAATGAATAAGGATGTTTCAAATGATGATATATGACAATCCTGCATTTTACCAATACTATATATATAGATTTTTTTCTGAAAATATTAAGTGAAACTGTAAAGAAATAGACTTTAAAGCATACTCCTTCAACTCACCAGAACACAAGGAGAATTTCTTTAATTTCCTTGCCTATGTTGTTGTTGTGATATATATGAATGTGAATGTAATTTGATCTCCTTCTAGTTCAACAACCCTGGAAATCATAAAACTTCCTATTGTATGATTTATTTTGATGGTTAAATGCCAACCATTGCATATATTCTCTCTTTTAGTTCATATACTGTAGCTTGTGCTTAAGTAACTATAGCATACTCTAGGCCTATAGCCTGTGGTACATAATTTCACAGTTTCAAAATTGTTGAGGGGAAGACCTTCCATGTTTTAGGAAGTTATGAACGTAATATAAATCTCATGAGCACCCACAGCGGTCTACTACCATGGCTGGAATTTTCCCATATATTATTTGCTCTTTTCCATTAAAATATAACATATTAATTGGAGACATCTTTGTGGGAGTACAGCAAGGGCCTGCTGAACCTCGGGGGTTTGCTTGGTGTACAAGATGAGTATGAGGATATTTTTGTAAAAATACAAATTCACACTCTCCAGAGCAGTAATTTGCCTTGTATCTTTTGGGTGCAATAATCCAGTCCCATCCAAAAGCTTCAAAATCTACTGTTAGTGGGTACCGACAGCATCGTGATTCTGTTGAGTGCTCATCACAGTCAAGCCCAAAATCTCTTCTGGATCTTTTTGGTGTGTCTGTAACCTTGACCTCTAAAAAGGGATTCTGTGTGTAAAGGAAAGAATAATTAGTAATATTAATAGAACTTAATGAAACTTCCGAAGTCATTATTAGAAGAAACTAATCATTTGTTTATATCACATTTAATTTTTAAAAAAGCATGGTATTGAGGAATTTTAATTTACACTAAGCTTGGGTTTCCTCTTATGTCTCAAAGAATAGAACAATAATACAAATTTTTCTACGGTCAGTTCATTCTGTTTTTTTAATTTTTGTTTTCCCTGATTTGATTATCAGACTGCCTGATTTTCAAGGCACAAAATAGATGCCTTGAAAATTTTTATGGGAAGAAAGGGAGGACAGGGAAGGAGACTGAGGAAGAGAGGAAAGAGATGAGTTTCCCCTTTTCATGGTTGTTTATTGTGTGTTGACTACACAAGTCTGATGATTCCTGGAGGGATAGGTATGCTTATCCATCCAGTGTTCCCTAGGTCTTTACTCAGGGAAACATGGATGTCAAAGCCAGAGCAAAGAGCTACCTCTGAGCAGTGTGTGGATTATAATGGGGGAAAGGAAAGTAGGGTGTTGAAGGTAGTTCCACATATATTGGGTTCAAAAGAGAATCCCTGAAGGAGGGAAAGACAGATTTATAAGAAGACATAATAATGTCCTTTTTTTTTTTAGTCTTTTACTGAAAAATACTTCTGTTCAGGTATTTAAATAATAAAATTTGCCAGCACTGTTACTGCCCCAATCTTTCAATGTAAGATTTCATTTACTTTTAAGTGGAAAAATCTGAGGAATACATCATATTTACCACCTGTTTAATTATAATTAAAACCTATCACATTTTGATCATTAAAATACTACCTATAGAAAAGAATACTTTCCTAAATAATTGGTAGTTTTAATTTTGTATAAAAATGAAAATGGACCAGGTAGTTGTTATTACTTAAGATTGTCAAAAAGAGTGATATCATTTGGGAAGTCAATAATATTTAAAGTAGCACATATAAAAAATAGATCATTTGGAAAATTATATAGTCTTTTAAGCAATATGTTTTCACTTATAGAAGATCTGATTTACTAATTATATAATTACAGCCATGACCATTTATAGATTTAAAAGATAACTTGTATTTATTGTTTCCAAGTATAATCTTCTGTTGTAAAATTATGCCAATAGAGAGAAGTAAAAATACTTGGTCACATTAAAAACATTTTTAGAAACAGAAGCAACAGGACTCCATAAGCTAGAAAAATTACCCTAAGTTTATACTAGGTTTCTAAATTTTTTGAATCAATTTTTATAATATATAAAATATTGTCACCCTTGGCCCGATGTTAAATTAGTTGGCATTTCCTAAGTAAACTCTTGCACAAGAATGCTAAGGCAGATCAGAAACAAGCTAGGTATCAAAGGTTAAGTAGCCTGGAAATTGAAATTTTATTAGGGGTATTCCACAAAGTAATATACACAGGCACCAGTATGTTAACATCCTGCAAGTACTGAACATATTTGTCAGAAGGCCCTTAAATATATTTTGTAAAATATGATCCTACATGTATACTTAGTTAATTGATATAAATAAAAACAATTTAAGTATAATCATAACTCAAAAAAATTTTTAAAGTTCATTTTTTCTGCTTTATGTAAAGACAATATTTTTCAACACATTTGGGAAAAATAAATGAGAGAAAAATGTTCTGATTTGTTGGGTATGTATTAAAATCTATAGAGTTCTTATTTTTATTTATATAATCATATATCATATCAATGAGATCCACTTTATATTTCATTACCAATTCAAAAGAACTCCTTATGAAGTTAAAAACCATGGTATGGTTGTTTTCTAAAATCTTCATGCAAAGTAAGAGTAGCAAGGGAGTGTTTCATAGGATATGAAATTGGAAACCTACATTTATTGGGTACAGGGGCTACCGTTGGGGTAAGATACTTTTGTCTAGCTTGTAAGCATAGGAAATTGACAATTATTTTCACTATTATTTGTTCACAGTGTGAATAAAAACATAACAAAGTAGTTAGAATGTTATTTTAAGTTATCTCTTACCAGCCCATCTTCTCCTGGTCCTGGGAAGGTTACAGCAAGATCATGACCATTCTCATCTAAAGCTTTGATTTCAATGCCTAAGTTGGATTCAGGTTGTTTGAGCCAATTTTGCAACACTGTCTTCACATCAATGCTTTGCCAAATACCAGTGCCTGGGTTCATGTCAAGTTTCAGAGATCGGATTCCAGTATACCTTGTACCGTCTTTCATGGGTTTGATGAGTCTCAGGATTTGCACAAACACAGTTGTAGGAGTCTTGACGGGTCTCAGATAAATCCACAGTTGGGCCTTTATTACTTTATTATACTGTATTTTAGAGCTAAACTTAAAGAAGCAACATTTGGGTTTTCCTTCAACTTGCATTAGAAAATCAGCTAAAATGAATAAGAAAAAATTATTGAAATGAGTTCCCATTTTAAAATGAATAAAATTCCTCCATATTAATATCACTTTTCACCATTGGGATAATGTATGCATAGGTAGTCTTTCAAAATGAAATACTATGTAGAACTTCATTCATAACTCAGAAAAATATCAAAGAAAATAATTACTCTAGCTGTTCAGAGTTTTTAAGATACATGTATTTTCAGCTATTTATGAGGAATTATTCCCCTTCCAGAGAACTAAGGACTAAGGAAACTTTTATAAAGGAATGAGCAGTGGATGAAATTTTCAAATGATGATGATTAGAGAGAACAAGAGACACTGTGGAGGAACATCCACTTAGAATTCTTTGGGAATCTGAGTAGTTACACTTACTGAGCAGCTGTACCAATCAGTCTGGATGAAGGAACCCTTCCCCCAGGCCTGAATTACCTGGGGACAAGACACACTGAGCAACTTACTGAGCCTCAGGAATGAGCAGAAAATTTACTACATCTGTTACACTTGGCCTTGGAATAGCCTTTCAAAGGAACAAAATTAAGCAGGTAATTAGCACAAAAAATTTAGATGTCATATTTGAGTTGTCTCACAAGTTAGAAAGTATTGTCTTTAGGGCCAGCCTGTCACTGTAGGCACAAACACTGACAATTTCTTCTCTTCTGGTGTTCCAAAATTGTGAATAAATAAGGCAATGCTATTCCAGGACTATTTGATAGCAGAATCTTAAATGAAAATTATTTATTGCTTTGTAATTTGGGTACTTAATAAGGGAAAAAATAATTTGAAACTCTTTCAGTCTGGTTTAAAGTATGTAAAGTGCTTTATTAAGGCAAGATCACAGACACATGGCACAAAAATTTTTCTTGTCATGCCTTCTCTATCAAGGTGCCTATCCCCCCTTCCTGAAGAAAGTATTCTTTTTGAGCTAACTGAAAAAAAAACTGTATGAAATATATTATCTTTCAGAAACAATGTTGATACTACAGTTAATAGTCTTCCCTCTCATGAATAATAAAATATTTTAGAACATTATTAGACAACATGCCTGCATAGAAATAGGCAGACTGGGTACTCTCAATAAGAGTATTATGATCAAGGTACAGGACATCGTGAGTCACAACCTACCCGATTAAAATATTTATTTCCTAGGCATTTTCTGATACTTAGCTCACAATTATCTCTAGGTTATATTTACTTTATCAATGCCCTTACTAAATTAAATATTTAAATTTATTTTACTCTTTGGTGTAAGAGCTTTCAAAATTAAGTATTTTATTTTATTAAGAACATAAAAACATTATGAAAGATGGTTTTAAATAACAGAAATCATTCTAGGTGCACAGCAGTGCTCAAATAAGCTTAAACATCCAGCAAATTTCTTATGATTAGTGAAAAACTTATTATAAATGCTTATTTTGGACAAATAAATGCAATTTACAATTTTATGTAAGTTCTTAACATTGCTTGTGGTATTTCCCAGTCCTTCTCTTGGTAGTATTAATCAGTGAAAGTATAAGCATGCTGTATTTTCCATAGTAAACTGAATAATACTAATGCTCTACATTTTTTTTTAGATTTTTACCTCTATAAGGAAATAAATAATGCAGCATATTTGTCTCAATATATTTCTCATGAAACCTTGAAAAAAAGAACCTCTTTTTTTTCTCCTACTTACAAGCCAACAGCTTGTTAAAAGAGCCTGAAAATAGATCTGTTTCTCATAAACACTAGAACAACAGTCAGCAGAACTGATGATATACACTAACAGAACTACTTACACTCTGTAGGCATGGTAATGATTGTTTCCGTCGTAACGTGATAATCATCATCTTCCAAAGAACCATCACTGCTGTCATCCCTCTGAACATCGTACTGATCAATCAGTTCCCGGAGTGGAGGAGCTTTGGGTAAAAGTTGTCTTATAGCATCTTTGCTGATGTTAGGAGCTGTTTCCAGACGAAGTTTACTGAGAATCTGAATTTTTATGGCTTCTATTCTTGAATATTTAGTGTTTTGTCTCCAAGTACATGCATTACACAGCCCCTCTTTTTCCACATTTTCTTTTTGCTCACTGTTCTCATTTAGATCCACTGGACCAGCAACAATCAGCATAAACAGGTAAATATAAACATAGATTTGCAGCTTTCGCATGATTTTAAAACCAATACAATCCTTTTCCTGGTTCTTCTTTTTTTCCTTTTGCTTTTCTTTTGCTTTTGAGCAATCCCAAGCAAACTTTTAATGCACGTACAGTCTGAGAGACAACTTGCCACACCAGTGAATCTTTTATACTGTATTCCAAGTGGCTTTTTATATTCCAACTTAGATGAGACAAGTGTCGTCAGGATCTATGATTGGCTCTTGCTCCACAATGAATCTCGCTGTCAGAGGTTAAAACCCTGTCTGTCACAAGTCACCAAGCAGTATTTTGTTACAGTCGAGGGTGAGCTGATTCATTTGACTACTTCATAAAAGAAATAAATCCACAAATAATGAAAGATATATGTGACATTTGAAAAATTAAAGTTCATGTTAATAATCATGTTAATAATAATATAAACTACACTGAAATCTTATTTTTATAAAACTCTCAAGTTATAATTTAAATTAGTGAATTTAAATTTATACTTCATAATTAAAATATAAAATGTTACTTCCTCAAAAATTAAAATGATTCTATATTATTTAGGCAAGTGTTTAACGTAAAATTATTTTTATTTGTTGTATTATTTTTAGCACTTTTTAATTAGGGAATAAAAATTAGAAAGACCTGAATTAAAAGAAAAGTAAGATTGTGATACTATTAAAGATTTTCATCTATAATTGAAAAAACTTGTTTTCCTGACTAAATTGTTAGCACATATTGAAAATCATTCTTATAATAGTATTACATTGTGCATGAAATTACTTTTAAATAGTTTAATGTCTTTTTTTATACATTGAAAAATGAATTTTCCAAACAAATTAGTTTTGACTGATTACTATGTTGTTTCCTACTCTGAAGATGCAGATTAATATCACTCAAAAGTATTTCTTCATTGTTGATTACCAAAAGGTTAATATTAACTAATAGAAAAATCTCAATTTCGAATAAGAAGGCAATGGATTTTATAACTGGCATTGCAGCATTTATTATAGTTTATTTCAGATTTCCAGTGGTAAAAGTAAAAAGTATAATATCTAGTTTTTAAAAACTGAATCTGAATATTAAATTTATAAATTTTACATAAAAGTGAGAGAGCACCATAATAGAGGGGTGCCCTTTTGTTGTTTCCCAATACTGTGATAGGTTTGCACCCCTTTGCCAGTTTCTCATTTTGACCAGAGGGCAGACACCTGGCAGGGATTTGGGGTAAGGTCTGGGAGCAGAGAATAGAGCTTTTTGTTCTCTAAATTTAAGTGGCCTCTATAGGGATCAAACTCTCACCCTTTGCTTTGGGAACCACAAGATCTAATCAAATGAACTATTAAAGAGCTAAATAAACATAGCCAGCAAGGAACAGAAGATGTTTCCAGGCCACAGGAGATTTCTTCTTCCTACTCCTTTTTTAGGAAGCTAAGGATTCCTAAGAGATTTAATCCATTACGTTTTTCCCCAAGAGAATGCAGCGGCTCATATCAAATATTCATTTTTTAGGTCATCACCATTTTTGCACACTGTACACCAATTTACTGCCTCAGTGCACTAAAATGCAACTCAGTAGCCTGAAAAGTTAATGCATTTTCATCAAATTCTTAAGAGGCATCTACATCTCTTGAGAAAAAATGGCCTTACATAATGCATTGGATTTGCCCATCATTAAAGATTAAGGAAAACCAGACACAAACCAGATGCCCTGAAGATTTCAGATCCTCTTTGTTATGGGACAGTATTAGATGAAACTTGTTAAGTTTTGTTTGGAAAATTCATTTTTCAATGTATAAATCTTTGTAATGTTATGAACATGTGCTTCTGGATACTTTCCAGAAAAATAAACCTCTTTAAAAACAAAACAAAACACATGTTTAGAATTATCTAGCAGTTGATACTCATGCACTAGAGTCAGACCTGAGTTCAAGTCTCAGTTTAACCACTTCTAACTATGTGATAATGATTGAGATAGTACTTAACTTCTCTTACCTTTATTTTCCTCAAAGGGGCTTGGGGAGAAGTAATTTAATAATGCATGCAAATTGCTAAATATAGCGCCTATAATACAGTAAGCAATCAATAACGGGTATTTGTGTGCTTAATGTTTGTTTGGTGCTGTGGGGTTTGAGAATATGCTTAAAATTACTCTCCACATGAACTGAACTGCTTCAGGTCATAGCTGCCAATTGTCAGTTTACATGTGAAACTTCCCAAGCAAGTAAAATTTTCTAAGGCAGCCATTTAGTAGAAGACATGTTTTAGCTCATTATTCTTATTACCTGGAATAAAGTAAACAAAGGTTGTCATTTTCACATAGTTAATTCTCATTACTCATGAAATACATATTTTGAAATTTGCCTACTTGCTAAAATTTCAAAAAATCAATACTCCTCGTGCTTTTATAGTCATTCATTGAGCAGCAAAATAAAGGAGGCTTCGGACACACAGGTTCCCAGCTGAGGCCAGACAGGGCAGTGCTCTGCCTTATTATTTCAGCCCTCACACTATGTACAAGTACCCATTTTCCTGTCTATTTAGTTCCACATTTTTTTCCCATTTTTGTGCTTTTTACTGTTGTTGCTGATTCTGCTGTTTTCAAACATAGTGCTGTGCAGTGTTCTTAAGCACAGGAAGGCTGCAGTGGAAAGTAGAATGGTGATTGCCAGGGTTTGGGTGGGGCAGTTAATGTTTAATAGAGACTTTCAGTTTGAAAAGATTTTAAAAAGTTCTGGGGGTAGATGAATGGTGGTATGGGTGCACAGCAATGAATATACTTAATACTACTGAACTGTTAACTTAAAAATAGCTAAAATGGTGAGATCTATGTCATGTATATTTTACCACAAAATTTTAAATGCCAGGATATGTCATAAGAAAATTTTTCCTTATGAAAAAATATATGTGTTAGAAAAGCTTTGTTCAGGAATGAAGGTAGTGCTTTTGACTGTGAGTTTAATGTTAATGAATAACACTATATATTAATTGGTTGATGAAAAAATTGTGACCAGAGGCTCTCCTAACCCTGTATTTTCTCTAGGAATTGAGTATTTGCTGATTCACAATTGATGATGAATTTCCAGAATATAACTACCATGAATAGTAGAATTGTTTGCATCTAATCAGCTTCTCTGAAGGACAGTATGAATGGATTAAGAAGTACTCAAGCAATTTCAAGAACTGTTTCTTCTCCAATGGCAATAACTGCAGCTCCCCAGCACAGAATGCTGGGAGCTACTGTCACAAAGGAGACCAGACAGGGCAACAATAGGACAGGTGAGGAAAGAAGAATTTCTTCCAGTCTATGGGAAGAACTTGGTTTGTGAACCTGTTGGCTTTGTCTTAGGTTAGAATTCTTCAAAAGCTGTTTCTCATGGCAGTCGTAGGAATGGAAGACAGTAGACTTGGAATATAGTTCTGGCTTTGTTCTTGATGTTTCATGTAACCTTGAATAAGTCATTTAGCAAAGGCTTCACTTATGTGTGTGTGTGTGTGTATATATATATATATATATATATATATGTGTGTGTGTGTGTGTGTGTGTGTGTGTGTGTTTATGTATTTATTATTTAGGAAACTTTTGAATGCCTACTATGTATATGTACCTGGCACTGTGCTAGATCTGAAGATAAAACAATGAACCAGTTAGACACAATCACATCTTCAAATAAATTATGAGGAAATAGGGTGGCGTATACCCTTTTCAATTGAGGTTTATCCCCTAAGGCAGTAATCCTTAAACTTTTTGATCCCAGGATGCCTTACACTACTAAAAATTATTTAGGATCCCCCAAATCTTCTATCTGTGTGAGTCATATCTATTATTATTTAACATATAATAAATTAAAACTAAGAAATTTTAGTTTACAGGCATATACAAACATAAGGACTCTTTGATGACAGAGTGATAATTGTCCTTATGTATCATGAAACCTCTGGAAAAGTTCATTTTACACATAAGAAAGAATGAAAAAAGACGGTCTGGTATTGTGACTCAGCGGTAGAGCACTCCCCTAGCATGGGCAGGACCCGGGTTCTATCCTCAGCACCACATAAAAATAAAGGTATTGTTTTGTGTCCGTCTACACCTAAAAAATAAATAAAAAAGAAAGAATGGAAAAATAAAGGTAAAAGTAATATTAGAATTATTATGAAAATAGTTTTTACTTCACAGACTTTCTGGAAAAGCCTTGAAAAACACCCTATGGGTCTCTAGACTGTGCTTTGAGAGCCATAGCCCCAAAGTAATAATATTTTTAATATCTTTTTTTTTGGTGGACACAATATCTTTATTTTATCTTTTATATGGTGCTGAGAATTGAACCCAGTGTCTCATGCATGCTAGGCGAGCGCCCTAACACTTGAGCCACATCCCCAGCCCCCCAAAGTAGTATTTTTACATTATTGCAATTGAATATTTCCCTCCTGTAATTGAAATCCCCTTCTCCCATTATCTTTGGCTCTGCTTTTAATAAAACATCAAATATAGTAATTTTAAATACTTCGTATTTATTTAATACTATTTAATTGTTGCCAAGAGTAGAAATATTATTGTATTGTAGTCACCAAGTACAAAATGGTCATCAATCTAGAGTACATTGTTATAGACTGAAATCTGTATGTAGGCTCTAGGGATTTCCTGTGGATGGTCTTCAGGTCAGTCTTGAGGTGTTAATATTCATATTATGGCAAGGACTCCTAATGATGTTTCCATGAACAAAGTGGTTGCATTTCATTGTCATTCAAAATGCAGTTTTCCCCTCCCACCTTCCCCAAATGGGAGCTCTTGACTACTTATTACAGATTTGAAATACGGAAGACAAAAATAAGTTATAACTTGGCTTCTTTACTTTTTTCCTCATTTTTTCATTGAAAATTATACTGGACCCAAAGACTTAGTGTTAAATTTTATCAATTGTGCTCTCTCCTCTATTATTATAGTTCCCCCATGTTTGTGTTTTGTTTCACTTATTTGTCCTCCCATCTTTACCTCTCTGTCCTCCAAATAGACTTTGAGTTCCTAGAGGGAAAGATATTATTTTGTTGGTTTTTGGTCTGGTATGTGGGATATAATTAGATGAACAAAATAGTGCTTATTGAATAATTAAACCAGTTAATGAGTGATTATACCTTTAATATTAGAAACTTCAACTTTTTAACTTTTCAATAGGTAAAATTACTATACTTACAGACTTTCTAAGTTGATTTTGGCTGTGTTTTTAGTTTGCTCTGTGGTTCATACGTTTCTATTATGGTCCTCTTACTCAACTTAAAATTGATATTATAGGTCCTTAAAATTGATATTATAGGTCCTGTTGTTCTTGTCACCTCTACTGAGCACTTTGAGCAGATAAGTACAGACTTTGCATTTAATGATCTATGGCTGTTAGATCCATGGCTACACACATGTGGCTCTAAGTGAGGAAAATGTTAGTTAGTTGCTATGCTGGCTGAGGCACCACTGTTTAAGATGACCAGATCCCTTACTCAACACAAATTCATATTTAGGTCAAACTATGGAAGGCAACCACAGAGGAGAATAAACATCTCAAAAGAACAGTGGTATGTGTGTGTGTGTGTGTGTGTGTGTGTGTGTAAATAAGACCAGCTCATTACAGTATGTTTTGCCTTGACCCAGTGGGAGAACTGCGAACTCATTATGTGTGTTAGTCTTCTCTACTTATTCCTCCATTCTTGCAAAGTATTAAGTTTTACAGTGATCTTTCTCTCCCTGATTTCTCCTCAGCAGGAAGGAGTTTTCACCCAGAACTTGGGATTTAACTCAATCAGGCTGATTACTCAATTTTTGAGTAATCAGCAGAGGTGGGCCAGATGTCAACCTACTTTCCAGAATACTCTCTCAAGATAAGTTATTTAGCCACTCACCCCAGTGGGCACCTGTGAGTTCCTTAATAATTTCATAAAATTTAGATCTTTGTGCATTTTCTGGGTCATCTATATACAGCCTTACATCTAAGCATTTCTTCATGTCTCCAGTTTCTCCACTGTCTACAAATTCATTGCTCACAATTGAGTTTTTGACCATAATCAAGTTGGCATCAAGTGCCATCTGAAGTCATAGAGGTTGACTTTTATACAGCATTCATGGAAGTTCTCAATTTTTTTCTTTAAAAAAAATCTTTGCATTATTCAGGCTTGAACACCCAACTCAAATAATGTTCTTATTCTATTGATAGCAAGTAAGTATAGCCATTGAAGTCTGTTGCCCTAAGGAACAGAGTTTGTACATGAAAAAATTTTGATTCACAAACTTATCCCTTTTTGCTGGACTTTAAATTTCTGTTTAAGTTGAATGATCTTGCGGTAAGAAAGCATGTAGGAATGTTTCATACTAAATTATACCAGTCTTTATTTGGGTTCTGAAACTTTAATTAGAGTCACACCATCACTATTGGTCTATGAACTTCCACGTTGTTGCTGGCCTCCCTGCAACAAGAAAGCACAGACTTCTGCCTGAAGCTGTCAATTTTCTTTCCCAAGTTTAGTGAAGTTTAATTTCAAAATCTCCAAATGAGAAATTGAGTATAAAAAGTTTATCTTCACTGTATCTGATGAACAATTCTTTATGATGTTTTGTTTTGCTTTAGAACAACCATATGGTTTCCAGAGCATATGACAGTATGCTAATTTTAATATTTTTTAATTTTAATTAATTTTAATATTTTAATTTTAATATTTTTGCCCTTATTATTGTTAAGACTTAAGCTTGCAATGTTTATGGTTTTATTTGGGGGGAACTTTGTTTTCATTATTTACTTATTTATAGATAGGGTCTCGCTAAGTCACTCAGCCTTGCTAAGTTGCTAAGGCTGGCCTTGAGCTTGCCATCCTCTTGCCTCAGCCTTCAGAGTAGCTGGGATTAAAGGTGTCACCACCATTGTGCTCCACTTGTTTGGGGGGAACTTCGGGTTCTATAGACTTACTACAGAATGTTTCTATAAATTTAAAATTTTTAAATTATTTTAGATTTCTATTTTTAAATTTAAATCTTTAAATTTAAAAGTCTTAAAACCATTTAAAATTTTTTTCCTGATCTCTTCTCTCAGTGATTTGGAAGTAGTGATAGCCTTAGAAGAATTCAGTTCTTCCCAGGAGGGCACAGAAAATGTTTTTTTTAATTTCCTTGGAATTACCTGAGCATTGTTTATATAATTCACAGAGGATTGGCTTTCAAAGGCATTCACTTCCAAATTCTTTTGCAAATTCCTAGAAAGAACACTTTAAAAATAAATGTACTCATTTATTTTATTCATTCATTTGTTCATTAGGCACTTATTAAGCACCTGGCTTTTGAGAGGTACTATGCCAGGTATTTGAGACAGAAAAAAAATGTGATACTTTTTTCCCTAAGGAAAACATTTTGAATTTTAAGGCCATAAGGGTTTTAAGATAATTATATCTAATCTACTCATAAGCAGATGAAGAGACTTAAGTCCAGAAAGAGGTTATGTGACTTAAATTGGAATTAAGTACAGTCTGTTTCATTTAGAAAGGCAATTTGCATTGGAATATTTTTGAAGCACCAGTACTCTTCAATATTAAGAATTTTTTTTAATATTCTCATTAACAAGGCCAATGCTCAATATCTTGATCAAAGCCACAGTGGTGCCCTTTGTTGCTGGACACAGTCCATGGTTCTGACTTGGCAACTGAAAGACCCAGTGACCTACTTTTGGAGAGTATAGGGGTTCTAATGTCTACTGACTTACTGACTGTGCTTTGGATGTCATTTGCTGAGATGCTGGGGGTTAGCCTTTTGTAATAGAATGTCATTGTTAACTCATTTTTTAGTATTTTAAAATATATATCACATTCTTAAGATTTAAACTTGAAAAGTCTGTACTTTCTAGTAATTTTAACCATGAATAGTTCTACCTTTGACTTTCTAATAGGTTTTAAAATAGACCCAACCTTGAATTCTAAATTTTTTTTTCATTTAATTACATTTAACATGAACATTCTGGCCCCTGCTGGGAACTATAAGAACTACATCACTTGTGCAGTCAATTTTCATAAGGTCATAAGGACTTCAATTTAAACCTTGAATTGGGTTTTATATATCTTCTCTCTTTCTTTCAGTAACATGGATTTTATTGAATAAGATCTGTAAGTTGGGCAGTACTGTGACTGTGATTCAAAATCTGCATTAAATATTGGTCATTTACATGATAATAAATTTAAATACACAATAAGATAATATTTTCTACCTTTGTTTTAAATATATATGAATCTCAAATATATTTTTCTCCATCCAA